GGAGAAAGCAGATGACAGCGCAAACGCAGAGCTGAAAGGGACAACGCAGGAACAGACAATAGCTCATAATCTGAAAGTGACGCCGGGTCCAGAGTAGGCCAGATTAGGCCCATGGCCAGGAGAAAAGCAGTGATATGGCTGCAACACAATCCCAATAAGGGGAAAAAAGAAAAGTCTGTGGTGGATATGCAGACCCCACGAAGAATGCTGTACGTAGGCTTCAGGGGATCTGGGCCTGACGTGGCCTCCAGATTACCGCCGCATGCGAGCGGGCAAATCCTGCCCCCCCGAGGTCAATTTTTAACATGCAAAGCTTGGCCGGGCCGCGTGACCGATGGACCAGGGGCTACCTGTAACATTTATTGCCCAGCAGCCTGGGGGGGGAATTCTTTAGATGTCCCTTGCTCCGAAGAAGTGTGCGTGGCAATCTAAACTGTCGCTGGCTTGGGCTGGCCGACCGGCCGGAGGATTGATTACGAGAAAGAGGAGGAGAAAGAGGAGGAGAAGAGGAGGAGGAGGCGGAGGAGGAGGAGGACGAGGAGGAGGAGGAGGAGGGCGAGGAGGAGGAGGAGGAGGATGAGGAGGAGGAGGAGAAGGAGGAGGAGGAGGAGGAGGGGGAGGAGGAAGACGTGTTTGTTTACCGACGGCGGAACAGGGGCATCCACAACTTTTTTGCACATCTTGTCTCAGCGATCTCTGAGGTTCCAGAACCCTCCGGTTCGTGCGGCCTTTTGCGTTATTGTGAATTTGCTTGCATTGTATTTCACTTTCCGACGGATGTGCATGGCTCCGCAAACGGCACTGAGCTGGTGATCATTGCTCAATTTTGCCTTCAGTTCTATTGCATCGTATTGCCTTACCGTTCATTTGCTTTGCAAGCATTTCCTTTCAATGCTTCTCGCTGCATGGCGCTCGCATCTGCTTTCCATGGTACTGCATTGCATTGCAGCACCAGTCTGGGCACTCCATTATCTTCACATCTTTATTTGGTTCGCATTGCATTGTATGGGCGTGCCATTGTCGGTAATTGATCTCTGCGTGGCCCTTGCTTTTCGACGCTTTGTCGTACTTCATGTTCAAGCCATTTGTGGGGACCTACTTCAGAGGCTCTGTGAAGTTGTCACGGCCTGGGGCTTGCTAGACCCTAAGCGCGCGCGAAGCGCGCGCGTGGTTCTAGTATATATATGTATATATATATATATATAAGTTCCCAGACATTTGGCTATGCGCGTGGAAATAGAGTTTATCTGCAACTGGGTAGTTCCTGTCGCGTTCGCTTGGAAATCATCAGGTGTCTAGCTGCTGTATTTTTCAGAAGTATTTGGGCAACTGACTTTCGGTTAAAACGAATCAACTACTTCTTCTAGTTTTCAAGCTGATCTTCCATGGAGCTTACTATCCGCATGAACAGCATTGTTATGTGTGTAAAAAGCTCTACGAGGTCCCCGGCGGTGACCTGGTTGACGGTTCACCGCTGGTACCCAGTTGTAATGATGACCTACTTGTTTTCTTCTGTTACTCTTCCTGGGACTCGTTGTCCTTCCTTTGCTCACTTTCCCTCCGCATTGTCCTGTTTCTGCGTGTGCGTGGCACGAGACGCGGCCGCTGGCCTCGCGATCTGTGCGAGGGGCAAATATGCAACGTCGTTGCCAACGCACGACCATCTACAAATGGTCCGTACCGTAGCATCAATCCCAGTTCACGTAGTTTCCACATACTGTTGCGATTCCTGACCATTTATTTCTCCAGCAGGGCAGGTTTTCCAAGAGCCCCGGCGCCTATGGAGGGGCCATGGCCCACGACAAAGGACAGCGACGTGCGAAGGTGGGCCCAGCTGCCCCGCCCCGACGGCGCGGCCTCGTCGCCACTGCCGCTGCACGGATCGTTTCGTCTCTTTAGGCCAATCAATCGTCAGAGCGTGTCGCCCCAACCCAGACCTCTGGCCCCCGGTCCCAGTCCCAGCCCTCTTGCCCTGGACCCGGTCTCCCTCCCAGCTCCTGCCCGTCCTCTTCCCCCCGTCCTTCGCTGTCCTGATCGTGCGAGAGCGAGGGCACGCGTGCCACCTGTTGCTGTCGTCCAGCGGGGTGGCTCGTGTCTCCTGAAAGTGATGCCCGGTTGTTGCCGTTCGCGCAGGAGCCCCATCCCAGGGTCCCTGAGACTGATGCGTCCAAGGGCCCTGACTTGCACCATTTCGGAGCCATCACGCGGGTCGTCGTGTTTCCTTTTTTCCTTGCCGCGTGTATTTCGTGGATGGGGCTGTGCTCCTGATCGTTGCCGACGTCTGCACTGACAGAGCGGATGTGGACTGCGACGTCGGGGCCCAGTCGCGACGGTGTCGGATAATTTCCCAACGATCGTCTTCAGCGGGTGGCCGGCGGGACAAAGCTTTCGCTTCCCAGGTTGCACAGGTGGCTGCCTGACTGCAGCGCAGTCAGTGGTTTGTGGGGGAACGAGGAGGAAGGAGGGATGGACGGAGATTCAAGGGGCCTCTGAAGGGTCCAGGGCGCGTTCGGGGGGGCTCTGTCGGAGTTTTCGGCGGAGCTGGCGGGGAGGAGGGAGGAGGCAGCAGGCAACCATCAGCGAAGAAAAACCGTCCCAGAGCTTCTCAGATCCTTCCACAACGCGCGGGCCCCCCACACGCCCCTCGAGGCTCGAGCAGTGGCGGGCGGGCCTGGCCAGGCCAGCCTGGGCGGGCGTGCCGGCCCAGCCGAGCCCTGAGGTTGGCTGCGCGTAAGAGCGACCCTTCGCCGCAGTGACCCTCGCTGCGCGGCTTTCAGGGGGGCGCGGGGGGCCAGACCCAAGCGCGTGGCTGGGCACGGCCGCATCGCGTGCTCGGCAAGCGACGGTTGATCTGTGGCCCTACTGCTGCTCCCCAGCCTTGCACCCAGAAGCCAGACTTTTATCCATGTCGCCATTCTGGTCCCTATTCGGGCTTGGACGTGAGCAGGGGCAGGGGTAAAACGTCGATCGTTTACATGCAGCGATCGGCAGGCTGCGCAGCGGTGTCCATCTTGCCCAGGGCTATTCCTGCGTGCAGCCGATGAGGGGATGTATGCTGCGAGGCACGCTTGCCCTCACGCTCGCTCAGGATCGACCCCCCTGCACGTACGCCTTTCGTGCAAACAGTCTTGAGCGCTCGAGTCTAAACTTTGGGTCCTGAGCCGATGAAGGGCGGCAAGCGCAGCGCGGTTCTTGGGCCCCGAGTTCGCGATTCCGAGGTCACCACGCGGTCTGTCACCACACGGTTCTCCGTTTCGATCCGACCGGTCCGATGCGATGTCGGTCCTGCCTGGCCCGCTCTGAGGTGCTCTTTTCCGGCATTCCGACGACGCGACTGCAGAGGCAACAGGGGAGCAGCATAGCGATCGGTAGGAGGAGGAGGAGGAGGAGGAGGAGGAGGAGGAGGAGGAGGAGGAGGAGGAGGAGGAGGAGGAGGAGGAGGAGGAGGAGGCAGCACAGCGAAGGGGAGGGGGGCGGTGGCTCTCCGCGCGGATCTCTTGGCTCGGCGCTGGGCCCCACTGGCGCGGTGGCCTCCCGGCGCGGCCGCTGGCGCGCTCCGCGCGCTCGGGAGGGGGCGGCGAGCGCGGATCCGAGGAACTCGCGCGGAGCGGCGAGAGCGTCAGTGTTTTGCTGTCTTTCTTCCTCTCTGCGACAGTGGGAGGGCACCAACTATACACCAACACCGATCCTGGCCCAGGATCACCCTGGGCCCAGGATCGGTGTATATGGCTTCTTGCGCAGGGCAGGAGGGCGTATACACCGATCCTGGGCCCAGGGGGGTGATCCTGGGCCAGGATCGGTGTTGGTGTATAGTTGGTGCCTTCCTAAGTGGCCCGTCACACAGGAGGCCTCCAGACAGGGACGGGGAGGTGGACGGAAGTGCCTCCCGAAGGACTGGCGGCTCAGGGGCATGGACCGGGCGAGTTTGGGAGCGGTGGGGGGGGGCGTCCCGCTCGGCGCCAGGTCACACAAGAAGGACCGCTCGCACAAGGAGCCCAAGGAGCCCAAGGAGCCCAAGGAGCCCAAGGAGCCCAAGCAGCCCAAGGAGCCCAAGGATAGGGACACAAGGAGCTCGAGCATCGCGGAGGTTCCGCTGCCGCCCCCCTCTCGCCCGCCCCGTCTTGTCCCTGTTCCGCCGCGGCCGGGCAGGCCCTCGGCCCAGCGGGGGCCCCCGGCGAGGAGAGGGAGGACCTGGAGGCAGCGTGGAGGGCGAGGGCGAGTGAGACGGGAGCGGTTGGGCGAAAGGCGCAAGGAGGCAGCGATGACTGACCAAGAGGTAGCGAGGAGTAGGAGGAGGAGGAGGAGGAGGAGGAGGAGGAGGAGGACGGCAGTCAAGCGAAGAGGTTCGGACGTGCCAGCTTCGATTGCGCGAACAGCAGCACCGCGTTCCGCGCTTCTCGCGGCACGCAACCCCCCTCACTCCGACTTGAAGTAGCTGCAGGAGGAATGTTTGCAGCCGCAGCCGTAGTTTTAGCAGCAATCTCAGTCGTGAATATGCTTGGAGTACGCATCAGATGGCGAGGGTCGTAGCGCCATCAGTGGCAGCAGGACTTGCAGCATCAGCGTCAGTGGCAGCAAGAGTAGTAGAAAGTCTTTGCCATGGTGGTGATGCGTACGGGTTGTTCTTGGTATAGTGATGATAATCAGGAGCAGGAGGTGGGAGGAGGAGCACAACCGCGTTGCCCCCACGTTCGCTTCCGCTGTACTTTAAGTTGCCGAAGCGTAGTCGATGCGCCCTCACGTCTGGAGCATGCCAGGTTTGTTGGGGGGCGGAAGGCGGGTAGGTCCCAGCGCGGCATTACTCTGGAGTTGCCACCGACAGCATTCGAAGTAGAGTCCATAGCGTTAGATGAGGCGCCCCAGGAAGCAGCCTATTGATTTAGTACATAAGCAGCCGAAGTTTGAGGCTGAAGACACGAGCGCCCGCTAGAGGACTGCGCGCTCTCCGCAGCTGTCTGCCGGCACTTTCGTCCCCCCGTGGAGAAGCAGCGTTTGGCACCATGGGCGCCTGCGCCGCTTCCCCGCGATCCACGGAGCGCCCAGAACGCGCCGATGCCTCGCCGTCTTCCAGGACGGCTGTCAGCCGCCGTTGTCACCGTCGTCGTTCTCCTCTCTCCTCCCATCCCTCTGATCCTGGGGCTGTTCCGTTTCGCCAGCAGTCGGCTTCGCCCGGTCGTCGGTTCCGCCAGGGTCGGTTTCGCCAGGGTCGGCTTCGCCGGCTGTGGGGTTAGCCAGCGGTCGGCTTCGCCCGCGGTCGGTTTCGCCTTGTCGATTGGAGAGGCCTGACGGCCGGTGCCGCCGACCCTGATCGAAAGGGCTAGGAGTGGGGGGAGGAAGCGGAGGAGGAGGAGGAGGATGAGGAGGAGGAGGAGGAGGAGGAGGAGCAGGAGGAGGAGGAGGAGGAGGAGGAGGAGGAGGAGGAGGAGGAGGAGGAGGAGGAGGAGAGGAGGAGGAGGAGGAGCAGGAGGAGCAGGAGGAGGAGGAGGAGGAGGAGGAGGGAGGAGGAGGAGGAGGAGGAGGAGGAGGAGGAGGAGGAGGAGGAGGGAGGAGGAGGAGGAGGAGGAGGAGGAGGAGGAGGAGGAGGAGGAGGAGGAGGAAGTGCATCCTTTGTGTGCCCGCTCGAAGAAAGTGCGCCCCGGGAGTGTGATATTCTGACTTGGGACGTGCTCCCGGAAGAGGAAGAAGTGCATCTCGGGCGTGCCCGCTCGAGGAAAATGCGCCCTAGGGGGGTGGTATTTTGACTCGGGGCCCGCTCCCGGGACGCCTCTGCGGGAGGTGGGAGGAGGAGGAGGAGGAGGAGGAGGAGGAGGAGGAGGAGGAGGAGGAGGAGGAGGAGGAGGAGAGGAGGAGGAGGAGGAGGAGGAGGAGGAGGAGGAGAGGAGGAGGAGAGGAGGAGGAGGAGGAGGAGGAGGAGGAGGAGGAGGAGAGGAGGAGGAAAAGGAGGAGAGGAGCAGGAGGAGGAGGAGAAGGAGGAAAAGGAGGAGGAGGACCAGGAGGAGGAGGAAGTGCATCCCGTGCGTGCCCGCTCGACGAAGGTGCGCCCCGGCGGGTCGTATCTGCCCCGGCCCCCCCCCCCCTCCCCCCCCCTCCCCCCTCCCTGCGGGGAAGGGATCAAAGGGAAAGGGCTTCCCTTCGACTCCACTACGACGTCGTTTAATTTCGCTTTGGATAGCGCGCTTGAGGAGGAGAGCCCTGGGAGGGGGAGAACGGAGATGACGGAGACGACGAGTCGAACAGAAAAGCCCCTCACACACGCCGACAGGGTCGGCGGATTTCGCCTACGAGGATCTCAGGGTGGCCCAAGATGTCCAGAATACGGTATGAGTGGACCTGAAGACGGACCAAGAAAACTCCTACATTGCCCCAGAGTCTCCAAGGACGCCTCACAAGCGGCCCAATAGAGCTTCCAAGAAGCTCCATGAGAAGCACAACTCAATGCTATTCGTTTGGGTTTTGATTGGTTTTGCAATTACCGCAGTTCGTGTTTTTCCATAGCTTCGACGGCCGCACAACGGGCTCCCAAGGTCGCCCCAAGACGGTCCAAACGGGTACCATGCTAGCCCCCACCTGGGCCCAAGATTGCCGAAGAGGCGAGGGCCCCCGCGCGGCCTTAGAGGGGCCCGTGACTGCTCCAAGACATCCCCAAGACACTCCCAAGCTGGCTCGAGGGGCCCCCGACGGGCCAAGAGGGCCCCAAGCTAGCCCCAACGGCCCAAGAGGGCATCACTTGGCCCCGAAGACGGCGCAAGACCGCCACAAGACCCCGCTTGGAGCCCCCCAGACGGCCTGAAGATTCTCCAACACATCCTCCCGACACACCAAGGGACGGTCAAGACGGCCCCAAAGCCGCGTTAAAAGAGGCCCGATACCGCCCCCTGAGAGCTCCAGCAGCGCCGCGTGAGCCTCCAAGGGAGGCAGGCTTCTGCCTTCTCCTCCTCCGCCCACGTCCACGTCGCTCCTTCCTGTGCCGTCACTGATGTTGCAGCTTCTAGTATGTCTCTCAGCCTTCAGACGCAGTATATACAAGTTTAGCCCATGCAACATAATATTCGAGTTTCCGCAATCGTCTTCGTTCATTTAGCGATTAGCGTGGGATTCCATTGTTCGCCGTCCATTGTTTAGGCGCTGTCCCAGTTTGCGCCAGAACCTGAGCGCGTCAATCACGCGCGAGAGGAGGAGGAGAAGGAGGAGGAGGAGGAGGATGAGGAAGAGGGAGAAGGAAGCTGACGAGGAGGAGGGTGAGGAGGAGGAGGAGGAGGAGGAGGAGGAGGAGGAGGAGGGGAATAAAGAGAAGGAGAAACAGGATGCGGAGGATGAGGCGGCGGTGGAGGCTCACAAGAGCGAACGGTGACGTAAAAAGTTCGTAACACCGTGGCTCTCAAGAGCGAATGATGACGTAGAAAGCTCTTAACACCAAGGCTTCCAAGTGCGAACGGTGACGTAAAAGACCCCTAGAACCACGGCTTCCAATAGCACACGGTCCCATGGACCATCCCGCGCAAGTTCCTGAAGCGCTCTATCCTCTTCCGTGCAGGCCCTGGTCTAAAGGCCTTCCCCCCCAAGAGGCCAGCAAATATTGCCCAAGAGGCGTGCAGAACGGCCCAAGATCACCCCACCACGGCCCAAGAGAGGTCCAAGACGGCTCCAAAACGGCTGCTCAAGACCGTCCAAGGTGGCCTCAAGACGGTCCAAGATGGCCCCGAGACGCCTGCAAGAGGCTTCCCAAGAGGGCACCAGGAGGCAACATGCATTGATTGTTCGATTGTTTTCGATGCTGTTTCGGGTGCTTCCTTCTGGGGTCAAGAACGGCCCAACACTGCCCCACAGGCTCCAACTATTGCCCCAAGACGGACCTGGAGGCCCAGGCCCCCCAAAAGGCCCGAACACTATCCAAGAGGGCCCCAAGGCAGCCCAAACGGGCCCCAAGACTGCCCAAGAGGGCCCCAAGACGGCCCCAAGGGAGCCCCAAGAGGAGCCAACGAGGCTCCCAAGAAGGCCCCAAGAGGGCCCCATAAGAGCCCCAAGACGGTCAAAGGCCTCCAGCACGCCCCAAGACGGCCCCAAAGGACCCAAAGACGGCCCAAGAGGGTCCCAAAACGGTCCAAGAAGCCCCAGAGTCGCCAAGTAACACCATGGCTCCCAACAGCGAGCGTTGACGCAACAAGCTCTGAACACCAAGGCTCCCCAGAGCGCGGTGACGTAAAAAGCTCTTAGCATTATGGCTCCAAATATCGAGTGGCAACGTAGTAGTCTCTGAACTTCAGGGCTCTCGACAGAATGCGGTGACGTAACAACCTCTCAACACCAAGGCACCCACGAGCCAGGGGTGCCATGAGCCATATCGGGCAAGTTCCTGAAGCGCTCTTCTGTTTCCGTGTCGCCCCAGGTCTAAGTGTGCGCCTTCCCTTCAAGACCGCCCCAGAGGCGCCCAAGACGATGGAAGAGGTGCCCAAGACTGCCCAATATACCCTCAAGAGGGACCCTAGAGGGCTCCAAGCCTGCCCAAGAGCGCTACAAACGATCCAAGGCCGCCAAGAAGCTTCCCAAGGGGGCCCCAAGCAGCAACAGTCATTGATTGTTCGATGGTTTTTGATGGCTGTTTGGCTTCTCGCTTTTACGGGCCAGGAACAGCCCAACACAGCCCACGAAGCTCCAAAGTTCGTTGGACCCGAAAAGTGTTCAAGAGGCCCCCGTGACTGCCCAAATACTGCCCAAGAAACGTCCAGGACGGCCCAAGATACCCCCAAGACGGCCCAAGAGAGGTCCAACACGGCTCCAAGATGGTTCAAGCGTGCCCCAAGAGACCCCAAGACCGTCTATGACCGTTCCAAGATGACCGAAGATGACCTCAAGACGGTCCAAGAGGGCCCCGAGACGCCCCACGAGGCTTGCAGGAGGCTTCCCAAGAGGGCCCCATTATGCAACATTCATTGACTTTTCGATCGTTTTCGATATCTTTTCGGGTTTCGCCGTTGGGGTCAAGAACGGCCCAACACGGCTCAAGAGGCTCCAAAGATCGTCCCAAGACGGCCCAAGAGGCCCCCCAAAGGGTCTGACAACGGTTTCAAGAGGGCCCCAAGGCGGCCCAAGAATGCCCAAGAGGGCCCGAAAACTGCCCCACGAGAGCACCAAGCGGACCCCAAAAGGCTCTCAGGAGGGCCCCAAGCGGCCCCCACCTCGATTGCACGGAGGCGGTCATTGTACCAAGGGTCAACGTGTGTTACTTAACAGCGAAGACTGATAGGTTTCTAGTGGGCTCAAAAGAGAGCATCTTGACTCCCCAGGGGGGTCTGGGCGGATGCCACGGAGAATCCGGGGACTCCCCGGGACTCCCCAGGGGGGTCTGGGCGGGTGCCAGGGAGGATCCGGGGACTCCCCAGAACACCATTCCCAGGCCACATTTTGAATGCCCGGAGCCAACTGTAGGCCACTTCGTGTTCTTCGTGTTGCCAGAACACCATTCCTGTACCATATTTTTATTGCCCGGAGCCAACTGTGGGCCACTTCGTGATCTTCGTGTTCCCAGAACACCAGTCCTGTTCCATATTTTGAATGCCCGAGCTGAGGCAGGTTGAGGCCGAGGCAGGCTGAGGCCGAGGCAGGCTGAGGCTGAGGTTGAGGCAAGCCGAGGCAGGCTGAGGCTGAGGCTGAGGCAGGCTGAGGCTGAGGCTGAGGCTGAGGCTGAGGCAGGCTGAGGCTGAGGCCGAGGCAGGCTGAGACTGAGGCTGAGGCAGGCTGAGGCTAAGGCAGGCTGAGACTGAGGCTGGGGCAGGCTGAGGCTGAGGCTGAGGCTGATGCAGGCTGAGGCTGAGAGGCTGACGCTGAGGCTGAGGCAGGCTGAGGCTGAGGCTGAGGCCGAGGCAGGCTGAGGCTGAGGCTGAGGCAAGCCGAGGCAGGCTGAGGCTGAGGCTGAAGCTGAGCTGATGCAGGCTGAGGCTGAGGCAGGCTAAGGCTGAGGCTGAGGCAGGCTGAGGCTGAGGCTGAGGCTGAGGCAGGCTGAGGCTGAGGCCGAGGCAAGCCGAGGCAGGCTGAGGCTGAGGCTGAGGCTGATGCTGAGGCAGGGTGAGGCTGAGACAGGCTGAGGCTGAGGCTGAGGCTGAGGCAGGCTGAGGCTGAGGCAGGCTGAGGCTGACGCCGAGGCAGGCTCAGGCCGAGACAGGCTGAGGCTGAGACTGAGGCTGAGGCTGAGGATGAGGCCGAGGCAGGCCGAAGCTGAGACAAGGCGAGGCTGAATTTTCTTGGGGGGAAGGGGGGGGGAGGAGGGGGGGCTGAGGCAGGCTGAGGTGAGGCAGCTGAGGCGAGGCAGGCTGTGGCTGAGGACTGGCCGAAGGCAGGCTGAGGCTGAGGCCGAGGCTGAAGGCTGAGGCTGAGGCTGAGGCTGAAGCAGGCTGAGGCTGAGGCAGAGGCAGGCTGAGGCTGCGGCTGAGGCAGGCTGATGCTGAGGCAGGCTGAGGCTGAGGCTGCGGCTGAGGCAGGCTGAGGCTGAGGTCGAGCAGGTGAGGCTGCGGCTGAGGGTTGCGAGGCGGGCTGAGCTGAGGCGAAACTAGGATCCCTGAGGATCAGTAGGAATCCTTTTTTTTTTTTTTTTTTTTTTTTTTTTTTTTTTTTTTTTTTTTTTTTTTTTTTTTTTTTTTTTTTTTTTTTTTTTTTTTTTTTTTGTTTTTTTTTTTTTTTTTTTTTTTTTTTTTTTTTTTTTTTTTTTTTTTTTTTTTTTTTTTTTTTAGGAATCCTTAGGAATCCCTAGAAATCCTTAGGAATCCGTATGCATCCTTAGGTATCCGTAGTCATAGTTAAGCATCCTCAGGAATCCTTAGGAATCCTTAGGATTCCCTAGGAACCCTTAGGAATCCCCAGTAATCCCTAGGAATCAGGAATCCTAGGGATTCCTAAGATTTCCTAAGGACTCCTATGGATTCCTAAGGATGCCTAAGGATGCCTTAGGAATCCCTAGGAATCCTTAGGATTCCATTGGATCCTAAGGCCGTTGCCACTGCGACTGTCATTGCGAATGCGACTGCGACTGAGAGAACAGCAGAATACTACAACTGGATTCTCGCCTGAATCTTAAGGGGAGTGCTTCCAGATATGCTTATACACATCGCTGTTAGGTTGCTTTGCCGGGATTTTTTTTCGGTTGTTCTCCCCGTCTTGATTTTGTGCTTACATTGTGAAACAACTTTGTAAACAATGTAGGCTCACGCTCAGCACGAGAGGTTTACAACATACAAGGCGTATAAACACGTCATATGCTTGAGTGCTTCCAGTGTGCCGCATGTAATCAAGCGAATCCTGGGGGACGTGCGAACTTCATAAACGTGCAACGCGACACACGTGAAGCATTGAAACGTGCTTGAAGTAAAGTAGCAGGGCCAATGACGTATTGCGCAGACTATGCACGATGCGCCACGGACACACATATATATATATATATATATAGATGTGCCAAGCCAGCCATTCATTTTTTTGGGAATATGGAGCGCTGATAGTTGGGACATGCGGCTATGGGATGAGCAAGCACGATTCATACTTATACATATATATATATATGTATACACACATATACGAGCATGTATGCGTTCTGACAACGTGCGTACAAACGTGTATGAGGTGGCGGACGGTGTATCCGATAGAGGATGAGAGTGGGTGAGGGAGGAAGAGAGCAGGAGGGGGAGGTAAGAAAGGAAAGGAGGTAGTAGGACGGAGAGAAGAGGAGACGGTGGTAGTAAGGTAGGAGTAGGAGGTAGTGATATAGGGGGAGGAGGTAGTGGATGAGACCCAAGTGATGCAGTACAGGTGTGGTATTTGTTTTCGCCACCTGGAAGCGACTCCTTGAAAGACGAGTGCCTCACGACCCTGCCATGCCAGCGAGCGCCCAGTTCTGGAATCAGGATCGGCACTCCTATCCGTGTAGCCATACTAGTTGCAAGCAGGTTGGACCGGGCAATTGAAGACTGTCCAGCAAGAGCCTCTTCGTGAAGAGGAGCCCCCGTTGCACAATTGAAAGATCAGGGTCATCGCATTTCAGGGTCAAGCGAGAGCCCCGTTTTGAGAACGTATCGCCTTCATCATTGTAATTGTTGGGCTCATTCAAGAAGAATCGGCGCGTCGCCCAGGAGAGCGCTTGCTTCATTTTTACGCCTTCCACACTCTCCCCATTGGTTTTTCAAGTCTCCAGATCCCACCGAGGCGAAGTCGTTTCAGGCCAACTGCCGATGCCGCCCTACCAACACATCATGAGTTTCGACCAGTAAGAGGGTTAAAGGAAACAGGAGTATAAAAGATAAGATGCTGCTGCTGCTGCTGATGATAATGATGATGATGATGATGATGATGGTGAGGATGATGATGGTGAGGATGATGATGATTCTTACGATGATGATGATGATGATGATGATGATGATGATGATGATGATGATGATGATGATGATGCTGATTATGATGATGATGATGATGATGATGATGATGGTGGTGGTGGTGGTGGTGGTGGTGGTGGTGATGATGATGATGATGATGATGATGCCGATGCTGATGCTGATGATGATGCTGATGATGCTGATGCTGGTGCTGATGCTGCTGCTGCTGATGCTGATGAGGAGGAGGAGGAAAGGGAGAACGTGGAGAGAGGGCAAGACTGCAGCTTGGCGGCGAACAGGAAGCCAACCCTGCTCATGCCGGCGAAGGAGATCAAGCAAGGAGGCATCGGGCACGCGCAGTTTATCCTCGACAAGCCGGGTAAGATCCAGGATGTCTTTGTGCTCTATTTTTCTTGGGGTAACCCGTAAGGGCTTCGCCCTCTGCCGCTGGCCCCCTCTATAATTCATGGGAGATTCTAGAACTATGCTGGGACGTGTCGGCGCTATGTTGCAAACCTTCTGAGGACATCATGCGAGGGTGATTGGCGTTCAGCAAGCACCCTCCTCCTCCTCCTCCTCCTTTTTTCTGCGCAGGCCGCTAGGCGATCACACCTGTGCCTCCTCCTCCTCCTCCTCCTCCTGAGATGGTGGAACTGCCGTAGAACGCTTCGTGTCCTTCTCAGGGCGCGACTCCATGGTCACTTGGGAGGGACCCTTGGCCTCGGGAGCGCGCGCTGGACCTGTCGCGTCCCCGGCAAGGGAATCTGTCGTGTACTTTTTGTAGGACGGCCTCTGGCCTCGGAGGCGGTGCAGTCTACAGGCGATGCTGGCCTCGGGAGCGCGCGTCTGGCGCACTGTGCAAGGGAGTCTGGACTCGTGAGTGCGGCTCTGGTGCGCCGTATGCATGGCTTCGGGTCTCGGAGAGGCGCGACCCTCGTGACTTTACGGTGGGCTCCGGCCTCGGGGGCGCGAGTTTTTTAGTTTCCTTTTATTTTTTGTTTTTTTTTTTTTCTTTTTTTCTTTTGAAGTTTTCCGTTTTGAAGTGCGCGAGTCTGGCGTATTCTGCCAGGGATTCGGGCATCTGGGGCGCGAATCTGGCGTAACTGAAAAAGGAGTCTGGCTTGGGGAGCGCGAGCCAGTCTCAATTTACGATGGACTCTTGCCGCGGGAGCGCGAATCTGGCGTAGTGTAGCATTCTGTCTTCGGGAGCGCAACTGCGGCGTAACTTACGAGGAAAGTGGCTCTGGCAACACAGCGAATTTTGAGAACCCCGCAGGGGGAGGGTAATTCAGCGGTTTCTTTTCGGCTCCCCCCTTACGCGGATCAGTAACAGTTTACTGTAGGAAGCAGGAAGTACAGTTGTAGCACTGCAGACTGGAAACTGGAGACTGCAGTGGAACTCGGACTGGGACCGATGAGCTCAGGACCGGTATCTACGTTGCTAGCGCAGCCTGGTGGCCCCACAAAGGGGCCTGCGGACTTCGTGGCTTCTTCTCATACTTACTCCCTCTCGCTGGCCCCCTCCTCCCAGGGCCCCCCAGGGCTTTCTAGGCAGGAGCCTGCCAGGGCTTCTCAATGCTTCCAGGGCTTCCCTTCCCCCTCAAAGTTCCTTCCTGACACGCTGTTGGTCAGGCGAGGAGGAGGAGTTATCTGTAAGTAAAAGATGGAGGGATAGAAGGAGGGAGCAGGAGCAGGAAACGTACAATGAGGAATGTGTTGTTATTGATGATGATGCGGATGATGCTGAGGAGGATGATGATGAGGATGAGAACGAGGACGATGATGATGATGATGACGATGATGATGCTAGTGATGACGATGACGATGATGATGATGATGATGATGATGATGAGGATAATGATGATACTGATGCTGCTGATGATGATGGTGTTGATGATGACGCTGATGATTATGCTGCTGATGATAATGATGGTACTCATGTTGACGATGACGATGCTGATGGTGATGCTGATGCCGATGATGAAGATGCTGATGCTTGCTGATGGTGATGATTATGATGATGAGGTTAATGATGATGCTGATGATGACGATGATGATGATGATGATGCTACTGATGATGATTGTGCTGATGATGATGAGGATAATTATGATGCTGATTACGATGTTGATGATGATGCTGATGATGCTGATTATGATGATGACGACGATGCTGATGATTATGATATTGATCATGAAGATGACGATGTTGATGATGATTATGATGATGCCGATGATGCTGATGATGATGCTGATGCTGCTGCTGCTGATGTTGATGATGATGGTGGTGGTGATGTTGGCGATGCTGATGCTGCTGATTATGATGATGATACTTATGCTGATGATGATGCTGATGATGAGGATTATGTTTCTGATGATGATGATGACGATGATGATGATGATGATGATGATGATGATGATGATGATGATGATGATGATGATGTTGATGTTGATGTTGATGTTGATGTTGATGTTGATGATGATGATGATGATGATGATGATGATGAGGAGGAGGAGGAGGATGCCGTTCAGTGTTAACCAGTTGTTTCCTCCCTTCTTTGAAGGCGAAAACAGCAGGTTCTCAGAAGTTGGCTTGACATCTTCTGACAATTTTGGTGTGTACGAAAGAGTCCCATCATACAACCAGACACAGTGTATCTTTGTATTCAAAAGGTACGCGTGGTGTTTTCGCACAGTCGGAAACAGAGGTGTCGTTCGTGACAGCGTTGGCCTGCCCCGTGTGGTTGGTTGTGGCAGGTCCTGAAGAGGATAGCCAACCACACGCCGAAACGCTGGAGACGGACTGGACCAGGGGTGCCCGAAAGAGTGGGCATATTCAGTCCTCGACCAGAAAGGGAACCAAAGGAAGTTGCGCAGTCAATTGCTTCCCGGCGACCCTGGCGCGGTTGTCCGTTGTCAGGCGAGCCTGAGGCGGGTGTACAAAGAATGCCTTGTATGTTGCACTAATATGAATATGCTGTGCAAGTGACCGGTTATCAGCCGAAAATCTCTCCAGGAGCTCGTCTTCGGTGGTGCGGCCTTTTTCCCAACAGTCAGAGAGGTAACAGTGGTGGCTTTACCAAAAAGGGGGCTTCGCAGGTACGGTCTGATTATCCACGAGCGCCTGACGCAGGCGTCGGGTGGCTCACACCCAAGGGCCGTTGTTAGTGTCCGGTCAAGGAGAAGGGGGCGATCGCCAGGCTTAGCTGCGGTTGCCGGCGGTGTCACGACAGAGGGGGCAGTTGTTCCGTCCTTTCTTTGAAGACCAAAACAGCAGGCTCTCAGAGCTTGGCTTAACATCTCCCGGCAGTTTCTGGTGGGTACGAAGGAATCCCAGAAAACAGCCAGACACAGTGTATCTTTGTATTCAAAAGGTACACGTGGTGTTTTCGCACAGTCGGAAACAGAGGTGTCGTTCGTGACAGCGTCGGCCTGCCCCGTGTGGTTGGTTGTGGCAGGTCCTGAAGAGGATAGCCAACCACACGCCGAAACGTTGGAGACGGACTGGACCAGGGGTGCCCGAAAGATTGGGCATATTCAGTCTTCGACCAGAAAGGGAGACAAAGGACATTGCGCAGTCAACTGCTTCTCGGCGACCCTGGCGCGGTTGTCCGTTGTCAGGCGAGCGTGAGGCGGGTGTACAAATAACGCCTTGTATGTTGCACTAACATGGGTATGCTTCGCGAGTGATGAAACCGGAAACCCATCAACGATGTTGCAATCAACCGTCCCTCCAAGCTCCCTCTTCATAGCCCCCCTGGAAGGATTTATTTCCACTGATGGAAGTGCCCCGTTGGGAGAGTCCTGAACCGTGCCAGAGCATCACTCACGGGACTTCAAAACCGCGAAGCAACCTTGTTGTTGCGCCTTGGCGATCCTGAGTCGCTCCCGACCATTATTCCTGGGACTTCACGAAGCGGTTGCGCCCTGACAACCTTATCTAAGTACGTTAGCCATGGAATCTTGTGAGCTTCTTGTAACATTCAGCGGCGTTTAGGCGAGAACCCCCTTTTGAAAAGGAACCGCTTTCCAACGGTGAAGCCCGTACAACATTTTACAACGAACGTGCGCAGCGCCAATGCGAGAACCACATTTTGAAAAGGAGCCGCCCTCCATCCGTAAACCTTTTAAAGCCAATGTGCGCGGCGCGAAGGCGATACCCAACCGCCCTTTTTCCGTAAAACTTTTGCAAATGTTTGGAATGACTGTGTGCGGCGTCAAGGCGCGAAACACATTTCATTTTGGAAACCTCCCGCCCTCTATCTATGAAACTGTTGTCAAATGTGGAACTTCAGGGTCATGAGTGGTAGGGGAATCTCATGCGAAACGCCCTGCCCGCCCTTCCGACACGCCTCGGGTTGCGACAGAGAGGAGTTGTTTACAAGGAGTGAAAGGGGAGGAGGAGGAGGGGGAAGAAAAATATGAGGAGGATGGGTAGGAGGATGAGTAGGAGGAGGTGGAGCAGGAGGAGGAGGAGGGGGAGGAGGAGGGGGAGGACTTGGAGGATGAGGAGGAGTTGGAGTAGGACGATGAGGAGGATGAGGGGGATTGTGCTTCAATAGTTCTGGGGTGACCACTGGTCCGGGGACGGAACCCTGCAGATTGGGGGTTGTGCCCCTGCAGTCGCGGTGCGTGGGGCCCTTGTAGTCGGGGGCGGGGGGCCTGCAGGCCGGAGGGGGTGGCCCTTGCAGTACGGGGGGACGTCCTGCAGTCGGGGGAGAGGCTCCTGCGTTCCGGGCGCGCGGGGGAAGCTTTCTCGCACCAGCCACACAGCGCTCATCAAACACAGCATCACGCGCAACGCAAGCGACGCGCAGCACACGAGCAAGCGCGCGCGCGCACGGTCCCGTTTGCAGGCGGGCGCTCGGCGGTTCCGCTGACAGAGCGCGCGCGGGTGCGAGGAGCCGTCCTCCAAGACAGAAGTGCCACCCTTCGCGGCCTCTCTGTCATGGCAATTTTTTGCGCCTGTGCTGGAGTATACGTAGTCCGTGGGGGGGGTTGGTCCTGTAGTCCAGGGGGAGGTGCCTGCAGTCCAGTCGGGGGGGGCGTGGGCCCTTGTAGTCTCGGCGAGTGTGCCCTGTAGTCTGGGATGGGGCCCTTGTAATCTGGTGGGCCCTTTTAGTCTGGGGGCCCAGATCTGTTGAGTTGCCCAGAGTGCAGGGAGGCTGGACAAAGTGGCCCGTATCAGCCTTTCCACTCTTTTGGGCCCTGGCCAGTCTCCCTCCCGTGTTCCCAGCGCAGCATCGACCCGCCCGCTCACGGCTTCCCGAAGCTCTTCTTATGCGCGCCGGGGCGGCCAGCGGTTCGGGGCGCCCGAGGACAGCCGCGAGAGTCCGAGAGTGAGGACAGATGCCAGCATCGAAAATTGACGACGTCGGAGGTCGGGGGCCAGCCCCATCGTTGGTACCGCGCCGTTCCTGCCCGCGCCTCTGCTTCGAGTGGCCAGCCTGCGAGGACGTGTACCACATGGAGCAACAGACCCTGGGCCAGGGGACTTACGGCTCGGTGTGCAAGGGCAGGCACAAGGTGACCAAGGCGAGGGGCGCTCCTCCCTGCTATTCCTCTCCTCCCTCCTCCCTCCTCCCCCTCCCTCCGGCGACTCCTGCGTGAGCTCGCAGACCCGCAGGGACCAGAGGCCCCCCCTCGGGGAGGGGAGTCGGGAGAGTCGAGCGCAGCCGTTTGGAAGGCAGGTCTCCGCCAGCCAGCCCAGGTTGGTTGGCGGCGCGCGCACGGGGGTGAGAGGGGGGGGTGGGCGCGGGGGTGGCCGCTTTCTAAGAAGGCGCGGGCGACCCTCGCGCGGAGAGCGGGCCCGTCTGCCGGCACGAGGGTTGAGAGCAGCCCTCGCGCTTTTTTTGAAGGGCGCCCCTTGGTGTCCTTCGAGATTCGTCTCCCCAGGTGAGGCCCTCCCGCCCCTCCTCGTTGTTGCGTTGCGCCAGCGTGGGCACGCGAGGGCCGTCGCAGCTTAGGGATCCTGGAAGCAACGAGATCGGAGCGCAGCCCACGATCAACCACAAAGGGTCTACAACCAGTGCTTGCACTATGAGTACAAAGAGGAAGAACGCTGAACAAGACGAGATACCCGCTATGAATGACTCTGAGGTGTCCACAACGGCAAGGATTACCCAGGTCTTGTAAGGGTCAATGTTAGCCCGAAGTGGCGTGCAACAGGACTCGTTGACGCTGCCGTGGTCCGTCGTGCTTTGAAAAGGTCTTGGCCCTCACTGAGGGCACGCTCGCCTGCGTTCTCCTCCGCCCCCAACACTGTCGCATACCAGCACCACTACCTCCTCAGCTTGTACCTTTGGCCCTCAAACCTGGGCTTCCCAAAGTGCTCTACCCCTCCTCGCCCTCGGCCTCTCCTTTCTCGCCCTCGTCCGCTTCCTCCTCCAGCGCAACTCGGCTTGCCAATCGGATGTTGTATGACCTGCAGGGCCATTGGCCGGCGAGGTGAAGCCGAGTACCCGCCGTCCGCTGCCACGCCCTGACTGCTTGTGTGTCTGCTGGGCACGCGGCGTGTCGTATTCCTCCCGCCTCAGACGAGGCCCCGAGCCCGCAGCGTCATGCAGCCTCCGCTTGCGCTGCCAGGCCACGGCCGGCGGGCCGGAACAAGGGTCCGGCGTCCCTCGCCTTCGGGGGGCACGCCCGTGGGGCTTTGGGGCGCCCTCGGCGAGGGGGCCCGTCCTATCGATCCCCGCCCTTCTCCTCGTGGCCACGCGCCGCCTGCTGCAGAGGGCCGCTCGCCCGAACGGCGGCGCCCCGCCCGTGTGGACCTGCGCCAGGCCCGTCGTCGTCGTCGTCGTCGTCGTCGTCGTCGTCGTCGTCGTCGTCGTCGTCGTCGTCGTCGTCGTCGTTGCCGTCGTTGCCGTCGTTGCCGTCGTTGCCGTCGTTGCCGTAGTCGTCGTCGTCGTCGTTGTCGTCGCCGTCGTCGTCGTCGTCGCCGTCGTCGTTGCCGCCGCCGCCGCCGCCGTCGCGGGACAGCTGCAGAATGCTGGGCTGCACGGCGCGCGGCGCGCCGCGGGCCCCTCGTGCCAGGGGCACCTCCTCGAGGCGAGCCGGTGGACCATCCCCGCGCACCCGGTCGCGCTCTGGAGCTCGTGCCTGGGCGTCGCCCCGGAGGTTCTTCTCCGACAAGTGGGCGGCAGGCGCGGCGCGCGGGCGCGGGCGCCTGGCCAGGCCCCAGACAAGCACCAGGTGAAGCCCTTAACCTTTGCAGTTTTTCTGGCAACCACTTCCCAAGTGCCAGCAAGCACCTCCCAAGCATTTCCCCTCTCCCAGGCGGTCCGGGCCCTGGGAGCTGCGCGAGGCGCTGCACCGCGAGGCGCGCGGAGCGGGCAGCGCCGTCCCCGGCGAGGCGCACCTCGCCCAGGAGGAAGGTCGCCTGCTCGCGCGCCAGCAGCCGCTCCTTCCACCCAGGGCCCGCCCTCCCAAGCACGCCCGCCAGTGTCCCGGCATTGGCGCCGCACTGGAGACAGACGACGCGGCCGAGCCCCTGGGCGAGGGTGTACGGCCACCACGGCCGCCCAGCAAAGAAGGCGGCGAGCGTGTCGCCAGGGCGGATGGGGTCGGACTGGAGGTCCACGTCCAGAGCAGAAAAACTACGCAAACATGAATTGTCGAAGGTCCTCGCGGATCTGGGAAAGTAAGAGTTTCGTTTTTTCCGTTGTTGTTGCTGCTGCACTTTTGGGTGTTTTGTTTTTTTTACTTATGTGGGTGACATTGTGTGTTTTGGTGATTTAGTGTCTTGTGTGTCGGTTGTTTGTTATTTTTTTGGTTTTTGTTCTTTTCTTTTTTGTATTGATGTCTTTCTGAATGTTTCTTTGTGCTGCGGCTGCTGCTGGTGCTGTTGCGTTGTTGTTGTTGTTGCTGGGTTTGTGTTGTTTGTTGTCGTTGTAGTTGTTGTTGTTGTTGTTGTTGTTGTTGTTGTTGTTGTTGTTGTTGTTGTTGTTGTTGTTGTTGTTGTGTTGTGTTGTTGTTGTTGTTGTTGTTGTTGTTGTTGTTGTTGTTGTTGTTGTTGTTGTTGTTGTTGTTGTTGTTGTTGTTGTTGTTGTTGTTGAAACTTCATTGCTGAAGAATAATTATTGTTGATCCTCCCACCGGTGCATACTGTTCTTTCTCAATCGAAGTGTGCCCCCTCGACGCTCGCACCCTGTTTTTTGACAGGGAAAGTCTTCCTGCTCAAACTGGCCCCCTGGCCCCCGGGTTACAACAACAACGGCTCCCGCCTGAGACTTCCTTACAATTTAGGCAGGACCCCCGCTCCCGCTCGAGACTTCCTCGCATTTTATTTAGGAATCGCGCTCTCGCTTGGGCCTTCCTTACAATTGATTCAAGAATCGCTCTCCCGGAGCTCTGGAGTCGCGCTCTCGCTGGAGACTTGCTTGCAACTTACTGAAGAATAGCCTTGCGTTGGAATTTCCTGCAATTTGCCCAAGCGCCGCGCTCCCGACACCCAGGCACCCAGGAGTCGCGCCCGTTGTGGCCCCATGTGCATGCCCTTCGTGGCCCCGCTGTCGCCATTTGTGTCCCCCTCATTGTCCTACGTGGCCCAGTTGCTACCCTCAGTGGCCCCATAGTTGCCTTCTGTGGCCCCGCATTATCTGCACTTCGTGGCCCCCGCTCGTTCGCGCTCTTCGTGGCCCCATACGCATTCCCTTCGTGTCCCCGCTGTCGCCCTTCGTGGCCTACTTCGTGCCCTTCGTGGCCCTGCTGTCGTTCTCTCTCGCTCTCGCTTTCGCTCGTCGTCGCCGTCGTCGTCGCCGTCGTCTTCGACGTCGTCGTCGTCGTCGTCGTCGTCGTCGTCGTCGTCGTCGTCGTCGTCGTGGTCGGTCCCCTGTCCGTCCCTCTGGGGGTCGGGTCGACGGTCCGCGGCCGCCCCGCCGATCAGCGCTGCCGCTGGCCAGGCCGACGGTCCGCGGCCGCCCCGCCGCTTGCCGGGGCCCGGCCTGCAGGGAAGAAAGGTATACCCCCCAAGAGGGGTTCGATCGAAGATGAAGAGGGCGGGTATCGAGGGTTTGGGAAATACGCGTTATTGGACACTCGAGCATATAAGGGCGAACAGTCGTAAATTGATTGTTGTTGTTGTTGTTGTTGTTGTTGTTGTTGTTGTTGTTGTTGTTGTTGTTGTTGTTGTTGTTGTTGTGGTTGTTGTTTTGTTAATTTTATTTTTCTGCACATGCTGCCCCTCCAACGCCTTGTGCTGGCGATCGCGGGCAACTTCCCGCGCTGTTCCCGCTTCCAGGTGTGGTTCGTCACTCAGCTGCGGGGCCTCCCTACTCATCAGTTTTTTTGTGTCCCAGCTTAGACCATCCAGTTTCTCCTGAACTTCTTGATCTCCCGTGTGGTCTTCTGCATGTCGATACCTCCCACACCCCATACCACCTTCGGCAACTCCACCTGCATGAAATGAGCATGCCGAGCAACACGCGCACACACTCGGTGAACTCCTCGCAATTACTTTCTGCGCTGTCTCGTGGAGATCTCCAGCTTGATGCCGTTCATGGAGCTCGTCTCAGGTGTCCTGCTGAACTGAAGGATTTCAATGCGGTAGCACACCATAATCCGTCAGTTCAGTAGTACTGTCGACGTAGTCTTCGGTGACCATGGTGATGCTCAGGGATCATATTGTTGACTTGAATGAAATGGATCCGTATCTTTTCCTTCCCCCCTCCCTCTTGCTTCCTTTTGGCCCCTTTCTCCTCTCCTGTCAGGCGGTGCGCGCCATCAAGACGATCCCGAAGGGAAAGATGCGCAACATCGAGCGCTTCAAGAGGGATCCTTGTGTGGGCGATAGGGAAGATATGGGAGGAGGAGGAGGAGGAGGAGGAGGAGGAAGAGGGAAGGTGGAGGAGGATGAGGAGGAGGAGGAGGAGGAGGATATTGGATGATGAGAGGAAGGGAATAGAAGCAGCACGATGAGGAGAGACGAGTGTTATACTGATGTCGTGCAACGACGTACAATTGCCATTGGGGGGAACTTCTGGGAGTGGCATCGGCTCAGGAATATGTGCCTGATTTTTTGGTTTTACCAGTTTACGACGTTCCAACCTCCAGCTGCGAGAGAAGGAGGAGGAAGGAACCGGAAGAGCAGGAGGAGGGGGGGGGGCCAGGGAGGGCCTGTAGAGGAGACGCATGAGCACCTAAAGGGAAGGCTCGGATAGGAGAGGGCATGATGATGAGGTGCAGGGGCAGGATCAGCACTGGGGGACGTCGGCTGACCAACTCGCCGATCCCAACTGGGCCGATTCTGGGACACCTCGCCGATCCCAGCCCAGCCGATCCTGAGACCAGGATCGATGCATAGCCCTCCTGGCCAAGCCAAGGGGGCATATTCAACAATCCCAGGCCCAGGGTTGGCGCGGCCAGGATCGGCGAGGTGGCCAGAGCTGACGTGCCCCAACAGGAGGCGGGCACAATGAAGCGGAGGAAAACAAGGAGGGGGAGGAGGAGCAGCAGGAGGAGGGGGAGGAGGAGGAGGAGGAGGAGGAGGAGGAGGAGGAGGAGGAGGAGGAGGAGGAGGAGGAGAGGAGGAGAGGAGGCGGGATAGGAGTAGGAGGAGGAGGAGGAGGGAGGAGGCGAGAGGAGGAGGAGGAGGAGGAGGACGATGACGAGGAAGACCAGCTGCCCCCGATGGTCGGGGTCAAGCCCTCTGGGCCGCACCTTCACCCAAACCGGTGCGCGGGTCAGCCTGCAGTCGCACGGCACTGGCATTTCGGGACTTGGAGGTGCATGCGCGATGAGTCCCTGGATCGTCCGAGCGTTCGGGCCTCCCCCGATATGAGGCCCCCCCGCGTCCCCGATGAGGAGGACGAGGAGGACGAGGGCTAGGAAGATGAGAAGAACGAGGACGACGATGTCGACGAGGACCAGCCTCCCCCGCTGTTCTCCCCATCGTTCTTTTTACATTCTCTCGCAGCCGTCCCCTTATTTTCCTTTCTTTGGCCTCGTCCTCAGAATCACCTTTCCTCTCCTCTGAGGACAAGGATTGGGAGCCAGATTTCGCAACGTGTCGTAGGTCGCTGTATCTAGTGGCGTTCTTGCCCAAGCGGCGCAACCGAGCCCGAGCGGAGCGGCAGAGCTTTGGAAAAGCACGGGGCTCAACGAACACCACCCGCACTCGCCCCGCCATCGCCCACGCCGCATCCCAGCACCTCTCGGGCTACGTACGAGTCGTCGGACGAGCTGGTACAGCCCCCCCGCTACCCCGACTTCTGTTTGGACGCATCAGCGGAGAGGTGCAGTACGAGGCGCGATGCCAGGACAAGGGAAAGAGGGCAGAACCGGTCTGCGCTCCCACGAAAGAGGCACTGGCCCACGTCCGAGGAGCGGCAGGAAAATGTTGACGTGGGTGTAGAACACTGGCTCTGGGGAGAGTCGGGTCGCGATGCTCGCAAGCTCGCAAGAGTCCGACGCATGCGCGCAAACTGCGGCGCAGCGCAGTGACGGGCAAGGGGAGGAACAGGGGGGATGAGCCTGTTCGAAGACCGGCGGCAGGCGGGCGGGGGGGGGCCAGGGAGGGCCTGTATAGGGCCGGAGCGAAAGGGGGGGAGGATTGGGAAAGGGGGGGTTACGAAATTTGCTGCATGCAGCTGGTTTCGGCTCACCGAGGCACCGATGGGCCCCATTCCTCGATACTTAGCGACCTCAAGGCACCGGGAGGGGCCGTGAAAATCAGCTACGTGAGCTGATCTCAAAACCCACACTTTGCTTATCACCCCTTTCGCCCGACCGACTGTAGTAGAGGAGGACCATGGGCCTAAGGGAAGGCTCGGAATGGAAGAGGGCTTGAGATGAGGTGCTTGGGCAGGTTCAAGCAGGTGGGGACGTCGGCTGACCAACTCGCCGATCCCAGCTGGGCCGATTCTGGGACACCTCGCCGATCCCAGCCCAGCCGATCCTGAGACCAGGATCGATGCATAGCCCTCCTGGCCAAGCCAAGGGGGCATATTCAACAATCCCAGGCCCAGGGTTGGCGCGGCCAGGATCGGCGAGGTGACCAGAGCTGACGTGCCCCAACAGGAGGCGGGCACAATGAAGCGGAGGAAAACAAGGAGGGGGAGGAGGAGCAGCAGGAGAGGGGGAGGAGGAGGAGGAGGAGGAGGAGAAGGAGGAGGAGGAGGAGGAGGAGGAGGAGGAGGAGGAGGAGGAGGAAGAGGAGTCGCCTGCCCGCCCGCCCGCCCGCCCGTCCGCCTCTTCTCCCTCGTTCCTTCATCTCTGTCTCGTTAGTCCGTGTATCTCTTTCTCTTTATCTTTCTCTCGATCTATCTCCTGTCGTGCGTCCGTCCGCCGGGTCTGCCGTAACCGAGGAGATCGCCATCATGAAGATGATGGACCACCCTGGTATCGTGAAGCTTTACGAGACGTTCGAGGACATCGCTTGTGCTCGTCTGTCGCAGATGTTCTTGGGCCTGATTGGTGCTCTCTCGTTTCGCACAGTTGCGTCCGTTACGCTTGGCCATCGTGCAGTGTCCGCTGCCACTGCTATTGCCGCCGCCACTGCCACTGCCACTGCTACTTGTACTGCTGGTGCTACCGAGGCTGCTACTGCTGCTGGTGCTGCCGCTGCCGCTGTCGCCAGCCGCCGCTGCCGCTGCCGCTGTTCCCGCTGCCTCTGCTGCTGCTGCTGCTGCTGCTGCAGCTGCCGCTGTCAACTGCGACTGCTCAGGTCTGCTGCGACCGTTGCTGCCTGTGATTTTGCCACTGCCGCTGCCACTGCTCAGTGCTGCCACTGCGGCTGTCGCGGGCACCGGCAGCAGGGCCACCCCGCCCGCGCGCCTCAGCGCTCGACTGCTCGCCCAACCTTGGTATCCCACGGCCGGCCCGCCGCCAGGGCCCGACCGACCATGCGCCCCCGACCCTCCCACCCCGCCCGAGGGCATCGAGCAGGAAACGGAAGCTCGGATGAAGCAAGGATGAAGTGCAGAGCGTATCCTCCTTCTCGGAGGAGGAGGAGAAGGAGGAGGAGGATATGGAGGCGGAGGAGGAGGAGAAGGAGGAGGAGGATAAGGAGGATGAGGAGGAGGAGGAGGAGGAGGAGGAGGAGGAGGAGAAGGAGGAGGAGGAGGAGGAGGAGGAGGAGGAGGAGAGGGGAGGAAGGGAAGGGATGGGGAGGAGGATGAGGAGGAGGAGGGGGAGGAGGAGGAGGAGGGGGAGGCGGCGGAGTGGTAGTGATGATGATGATTAAGATGATGCTGATGCTGATGCTGCTGATGATGATGCAGACGAAGATGATGCAGATGACGACAATGAGGGGGACGGGGATGATGATTGTGATGATGATGATGCTGATGCTGATGCTGATGCTGATGATGATGATGATGATGATGATGATGATGATGGAGGTGATGGTGGGGACAACGACAATGATGATGATTGATGATGCTGCTGATGATAATGATGATGATGATGCTGATCATGAGGATGCGGATGACGACGACGATGATGATGATGATCATGATGATGCTGATGATGCTGCTGCTGATGATGATTACTGACGATGTCGATTAATACTCTTACGTTTACCACGACGACGATTATGTTGATGCTGATGTTTGTGGTGGTGCTGGTGGTGATGCAGATTATGATGATGCTGGCGGTGGTGATGGTGGTAGTGGTGGTGGTGGTGGTGATGGTTATGATGATGATGTCGATAATGAATATGATGGTGGTGGTGATGGTGATGGTGGTGGTGGTGATGTTGCTGATGACGATGATGATGATGATGATGATGATGATGATGATGATGATGATGCTGGTGATGGCGATGGTGATGGCGATGTTGATAGTGATGGTGATGGTTGTGATGATGATGATGATGATGATGATGATGATGATGATGATTGATGATGATTGATGATGATGATTGATGGTGATGGTGATGGTGATGATGGTGATGATGGTGATGATGATGATGATGATGATGATGATGATGATGATGATGATGATGATGATGATGATGATGATGATGATGATGATGATGATGATGATGATCTGATGATGATGATGATGATGATATGATGATGATGATGATGATGATGATGATGATGATGATGATGATGATGATGATGATGATGATGATGATGATGATGATGATGATGATGATGATGATGATGATGATGATGATGATGATGATGATGATGATGATGATGATGATGATGATGATGATGATGATTCACTTGAGTGCAGCATGGCCTGGTTGGTTTGGGTCAGGACTCGTGGACAATTTAACATACATCCCTACATCGATACAGAAATCTCCAATCTCGTCGGGTCGGCCCTTGCAATTTCGGCCACGTTTGCGAAAGCACAGCTCCGTAGCAACCGAACTGGCCCCAAACGGATTTCGACAGAAACGTTAAAATCCGTTTAACGCATTGCTGCTACTCCCAGCCACGTTGGCGGGACAGCCTCGTGGGTCGAGAGCTCCGGGCTGCTTGTGGCGAACCGCATCCAGTGCAATATTGGGGGTGCCAGCCCGTCGGGTTTGGGGGCCTCCGCGCGCGACGGCGGCCGGCCGGTGTGACGGGCGGCTCGCGCCGGAACCTCCCGTGCAGCACAAATCGGGGGATGCCAGCCCAGCCCCGCGGGAGGCTCCGCGTGCGATCGGCCCGGAGGTCTCCGTTGGCCTCCGGAAGTTTCTTGGGGCCTCCGGGGTCCCCGGTGACCCAGAAACGGCCGGCCCGTGCAGCGCGACGCGTCCGTCCGAGCCACTGTGGCTCGAGCGGTGGGGCGTCTCTCCCGAGTCGCCGCCCTTGCACGGCGCGCCCTGCGCCGCGTTTCCCCTCCCACCTCCCCTGCGCCGTGCGACGCATTGGGGGCGTGAGGGCAGGGCACCCACCTGCAGGGGGGTTTCCGGCGCGGTGAGCTTGCTCTCGGTGCCCTTACCCCTCCTACGCCCCAATGCCGTTAAGTGGCGCTTCCACGCCCCACTGCCGTTAAGTGGCGCTTCCGGCATTCGGGGTAGCGTGCAGTGCCTAGGCTGCACCAGGCACTGGGGGATCTGCCCAATGCCTCCCGCTTGACTCTTTTGGGATTCTAGTGGGCCCTGGCGCATTGTCTAATTGAAGGCTGGGCACTTCACTTGTCACTGTGCTGGGGGGGTGGTCTGAGTGACACCCCGTCCCCCAAAAGCCACTGTACATCGTACTCTGGCGGGGTGGCGAAACGGCTGGCTTCGCGAACCAGCCGCTCCGTGTGTATTCGTTGTATGTGTATGTGTGGTAAGTTGTGATGATGATGATGATGATGATGATGATGATGATGATGATGATGATGATGATGATGATGATGATGATGATGATGAGGATGAGGATGAGGATGAGGATGAGGATGAGGATGAGGATGAGGATGATGATGATGATGATGATGATGATGATGATGATGAGATGATGATGGATGAGGATGATGGATGATGATGATGATGATGATGATGATGATGATGATGATGATGATGATGATGATGATGATGATGATGATGATGATGATGATGATGATGATGTGAGGACTTGAAGAAGAGGTGGAGGAGGAGGATGAGGAGGACCAGTGTAAGCCCTAGACTCATCAACGACGTGTGACGAATCTCTCCTTCCAGGCTTCCTCTTCATAGGCCTCCGCAAGGGTTCATTCCCACGGAGGGATCTGCATCATTGGGAGACGACCGTTTGAAGATCCTCAAGCGTGCCGAAACATCATTCTCGGGATTCCATCGCCACGAATCAACCTGACTGTTGCGTCTTGACGACCCTGAATCGTGCCAGACCACCATTTCAGGGACTTCTACACCGCGAATCAACGTAATTTGCGGCGCCCTGACAATCCTCAACACACTGTTTTTGGTACGTTGGCCATGGGAACCCGTCAAACTCTTGCATATGTTTAAGACGAATGTGCGCGGCGCTCAGGCGAGAGCAACATTTTGAAAAGGATCCGCCCTCACTCCGTGAAAGCCGTGCAAGTTTGAAGACGTGTGTGCGCGGCGCTAAGGCGAGCGCTACATTTTGAAAACGGCTATTCCTCAATCCGTGAAGCTCTTGCAAATTTGTAAGGCGAGTGTGCGAGGCACTAGGGCGAGAGCCAAGAGGCATATTTGCAAACGACCCGCCCTCCTTGCGTGAAGCACGTGCGCATTTTTAAATCGAGTGTGCGCGGCGCTAAGGCGATAGGCATATTTTGAAAACGCCTCGTCCTCAATCAGTGAAGCTCTTGCAAATTTGTAAGGCGAGTGTGCGAGGCACTAGGGCGAGAGTCACATTTTGAAAATCGCCCGCCCTCCATTTGTGAATGCCATTTTTTGCTTCAGGGTCATCAGTGGTGAGGAAGTCTCAGGCAACACGCCCGGCCCGCCCTTTCGACCGGCCTCAGGGGGCGACAGGGAGGAGTTTTTCATACGGGGGAGAATGGAGGAGAGGGAGGAGGAGAAGGAGGAGGAGGAGGAGGAGGAGGGAGAAGCGAGGAGGAGGAGAGAGAAGCGAGGAGGAGGAGGAGGAGGAGGCCAGAAGCGAGGAGGAGCGGGAGCGGACGCAGGAGACGGATCAGGCGCCTCCTCCTCCTTCCCTGCGGCCTCCTCTGCGTCCTCGTCGTCGTCGTCCTGGAGTGCCCACCCCACGGCGGGCGGGCGCACGGGCGCGGGCGCCCGACGGCCAAGGAGGGCCCCTGTTGCCGGCTGCCTGGCGGCCCCTCTGCGGGTTGGGCGGGTCACGCGGCGGCGGCCTCGCCGGGCTCGGGGAGGGATTTACAGGGCGGCCGCTGGCCCAGAGGAGTGTGCCCACGCTTCTTTCCGTTCGGCCGCGTCGCGGCGCGGTTTTGCGCTCCGTCGGTCCGCTCTGGTCGGCTGTCGTGTCGCTGCCGCGCCGCTTCGCCCTTCTCAGGCTGCCTGCGGCTTGTCGGTTTGGGTTTCGCGGTTGCCCCTGTCGGTTTTCTGTGGTGCTGTCTCCGTGGACGACCCTGCTCGGCTGGGCCAGGATCTGCACAGATAGGTGCTCCAGATTTCGTAATAAAAGGGAGGGGGGTCTCATTTCGGGGGGGGGTCTCTTCCAGGCTATCTTGGAGGGCCTGGGGTGGTCTGGGGACGATGTTTTGGAGGGTTCTCCCACGAGGGGGGGTCTGAAATGGCTTTTCTTGGAGGGTCCAGACCCCCTCCCTTTTATTACGAAATCTGGAGTAGATAGGTGTGCAGCCGGCGTCCTCTCACCTGGCAACTGCGCGCTCGGTTCCCCCTTGGTTGGGCGTGACCGAGGCTGGGGGCCGGCGCGCTGTCGTGTGTGATATGGGTGCTTTTCAGAGAGGGCCAGCATGCCTCGCCCGCCAGCCCGCCGCGAAGGCGCCGGGGTGGTGGTGGCTGATCGCTGAGCTTCTGGGCATCTTCGGCGACCCTCCGAGAATCTCCGAGCACCTCTCCAGAAGCTCTCGGAGGCTTCTGGCCACCTCCGAGCTCGCCCGAGGGAACGCCGAAGACTCTGGGAGAGAGCTCCTGGAGGCCTCCTGGAGACTTGGGCGGGAGGCCTCGAGTCAGCCCTGCGGGGACTTTCCCAGACGGGCCAGAGAGATCCAGAGCACCTCCGAGAAACCTGCCGCCCTGGCCCCAGACGTCCGGCGTCCCGATGTTTTCGTGGCACGGGCCCCCGACCTCTCGACCACTTGCCCGGGACCAGGTTTTCCTCCGGAGTCGTCTTTTGGCGGTGCTGAGGCCCAGTGAGGGCCCCCAGAGGGCCGAAAACGATCGAGCACCTCCGTCTCGACTTCTTCGAGGCGCCCGCTGTCCGGGGCCGCCGCCCGCCGCGGAGGACCAGCGTAACATCTACCTGGCCATGGAGCTCTGCGAGGGCGGGGAGCTCTTCGACAAGATCATCGCCTCTGGCCGCTTCGCGGAGGTGGAGGCCGCCCACGTCATGCAGCAGGCCGCCGCGTCGGTGCGAGCAGACGTCGTCGCCCGTCGGTCGTCGGTCGTCGGTCGTCGTCGGTCGTTGTCGGTCCTCGTCGTCGTCGTCGTCGTCGTCGTCGTTCTCCTGCAACGCCGCACCCGCGGCGTGCGGGTCAACATATTCTATATTTCGAAGACGCCTACGGTGAATCACCGCGCCCCCTGCTTTTTAGGGATGCGCCCATGTAGCCAATCGTTTGGGCAACATTTGGCCACGCTATTGGACCATGCGTTCCCCCAGCCGCTTTAGAAGACCGGGGAACATGTGGGGGAGGAAGAGGAGGATGAGGAGAGCGAGGAAAAAGGATGAGGAGAAGTAAGCATGAGGAGACCTCGTGGGAGCTTCTGGTGTCATTCTTGGGGCCTCCTGCGAGCTGCCTGGGGGCCTGTTGATGGCCTCTTGGGGGCCTCCTTGGGTCTCTTGGGGGCCTTTGGGAGCTTCTTGGGACCCTCTTTGGCAATCTGATGGCGTTTCTGGCCCGTCTGACGCCGTCGGAAGCCGTCCTGGGAGCCTCTCTGAGCCGACTTCTGGCCCTGCTGCAGCGCTTCAGGGCTTTCTTGGATTGTCCTGGGCCGTCTTGGGGCCCTCTTGGAGCCGTCTTGGGGGCATCTAGGGCCGTCAGGGCCATCTCGGAGGGCTATTGGGCGCTCTCTCGGCCATCTTGGTAGCCTCGGCGGTCATCGCGGGCCGTCGGAAAACTGAACATGAGCTACCGCCAAGATCCTTCAAACACATGGTTTTGCTTTGATCGGGCCTGCCTGCAGAACCTGTGCGAGGCCTCTGAAGGGCCTTTTGTGCTGTCCTGGGCCATCTTGAGGCCATCCAAGGCCGTCTTGGCTGCATCTTGGACCGTCTTGGAGGCATCTTGCGGCCATCTTGGGCTCGCATGGGGCCATCTTGAACGTCTTGTGTAGGCCATCTTGAGCGTCTTGGGCCGTCAGTGGGCCCTCTTGGGACCGTCTTGGGGGCCTCTTGGGTAATCATGGGGCCATCTTGGACGCCTCTTGGATGATCTTGGGGCGCTCTTGGAGACCTCTTGGGCCGTCTTGGATCGTCACAGTGCCAAGCCGAAGCGAACGGCAGAATCCTTCAAACACAAAACAAACACCATTAATGATTTTGGGATCGTCAGGCCTTCCCGAAGGACCTCTCCCAGGCCTCTTGGGCCCTCTTTCAAGGCCTCTGGGGTACCTCTTGGGCCGCCTGGGGCCATCGGGAAGCCAACTTAGTCCGTCTTGGCTGCACCTTGGGCAGTCTTGGAGACATTTTGCGGCAATCTGGGGCTCTCTTGGGGCCATATTGGCCGTCTTGGAGGCCATCTTGGACGTCTTGGGAGCCATCTGGGACCGGCCTTCTTGGGCCGTCACGGGGCCATCGTGGACGCCTCTGCGGTCATCTTGGAGCGATCTTGGGGGTCTGTCGGTGCACCCCTCGCACGTTTCGTGGCCCCATAGGGGACCTGAGGCTCTAGTGCTATGGCCCGCATGCCTTCTCCACACCATTTTGGCGCACCCCTCACACGGTTCGTGGCCCCATTGGGAGCTCCACCTAAGGCCCCAGCGCTCGGGCCCGCATGCCTTGTCTACACCATCTCGGCGCACCACTCACGTTTCGTGGCCCCAGAGGGACCTCCACCTGAGGCCCTAATGCCAGGGCCCGCATGCCTTCTCCACAAAATTTCGGCGCATCCCTCACACGTTGCGTGGCCCCAGAGGGAGCTCCACCGTAGGCCCCAGTGCCCGGACCGCATGCCTTCTCCATACCAGTTCGGCGTGCCAGGGCCCGCACGCCTTCTCCATTCATTTTCGACGGACCACTCACACTGTCCGTGGCCCAGAGGGAGCTTCACCTGAGGCCTCAGCGCCCGGGCTCGCATGCCTTCTCCATGCCATCTCGGTGCCCCCCTCGCGTATCGCGTCCCCAGAGGGAGCTCCACCGAAGGCCCCAGCGCCCGAGTCCCTATGCCTTCTCCGCACCATTTCGGCGGACCACTCACACGTTTCGTGGCCCCAGAGGGAGCTCCACCGAAGGACCTAGTGCCCGGGCCCGCATGCCTTCTCCACACTATTTCGGCGAACCCCTCACACGATGCGTGGCCCCATGGCGAGCTCCACCTAAGGCTGCGGCCCCAGTGCCAGGGCCCGCATGCCTTCTCCACACCATGTCGGCGCACCCCTCACACGTTGCGTGGCCCCATAGGGGCTCCACAGAAGACGATACTCACACTCACAACTGCAGATGGTTTGATGGTTTGGTCTTCTGCCAGGCTATTTCTCTCAGTGGCTCGCCCGTGCCTCAAACTATAACTTATCATTGATGCGCCCATACCGTACAAGACGATGTGAAAGCGTCAGGATGCACGTGAGCGAAGCGGACTCGCAGGGGGATGGGTGGAGAAGGAGGACAGTGTCATTTTGGGCTGTCGTCGTTCACCATCATCCTTGCCAGCTGAAGGATTTGATTCCGCAGTGGCTGCCTTCTCTTGGTCCGTAGTCTGCCCGTTGGCCCGTTGGCGTGCGCGCTGCCCCTGGGCTTGGCCACCAGTGGTCTCGTCGGGTGCCATGGGCGAACCCCACGTTGCCCAGAAGGGATTGCCTACTGAGTCTTCATTCGTTCAAGTTTTTTTGACATTTATGGACGAATCCGAGAAGTTAAACATAGTGGCGCGCACAGTGGATTTGTCTGGGCCTGGGGCGTACAACCTGATCAGGAAGAAAACCAGTGCGGAGCACAGTTGGCATCTTGCTGTAATGGCAATGTTGCTGCAACAATAACTCCAGTTATCTGATAGCGACCAATTGAAGCTATCGCGCATGCTGCTGGTGCACGATTTGCCTGACGTGTATGCTGGTGACACGCCAGCGCTTGGCAATATGGTGACGCAGAGTGATGGAACAGTCACCGAGAAAGCCGATACAAAAACACTTCAGAATAGCGCGAGGCTGCAGATAGAATATTCGGTTATTGACCCAAGACGGCTGCTCATCTAAACGATGACTGGGAAGAATTTTAGGCTCGCCTCGAACCAATCTCCCGAGCTGCGGCAGTCCTGGACAAGCTGGCTCCACTGATGCAGAGTCGTGCGAGCGATGGTAAGGACTACGGGGCGTTCCAGTCAACGCTCGAGATCGAAACCGACCTCCTGGAGCCTCATTTGCAGCGCCCCTTCCCCAGAACCAGCCTTCGGCCCCGGATCCATGTCTGCCTTCCCCGGGGCCCGAACCCGTGCGTTGGGTGCAGAACTCTGGGGAAGGCGTCCGGCTGGCCAAACACATCTCCTCGGAAACGGGGGGGCGGGGCGCTGGAGGGAGGGGGGGGGCGAGAGGGAGGGGGGGGGGCTCGGGCGATGGTCAAGGCAGGGCGGCGGGGGGGCGAGAGGGAGGGGGGATGCGGGGGGGTGGTGACGGCAGGGCGAGAGGGAGGGGGGGTGCGGGGCGCTGGAGGGAGGGGGGGGGGCGAGAGGCAGGGGGGGGGGCTCGGGCGATGGTCAAGGCAGGGCGGCGGCACCACCGGGCCTGGCCGGGCCCTTCCGGAGCCCTCGGGTCGGGTGGTGCGCAGGCCGCCTCGGGCCGCGGCCAGGAGGGCGTGCGGCACATTATGCCAGGGCGGATGGGGTGGCCCGGCCAGGCACGGTGGTGGCGCATGAATGTGTGTGTGTGTGTGTGTGTGTGTGTGTGTGTTTGTGTGTGTTGTGTTGTGTTGTGTTGTGTGTTGTGTGTGTGTGTGTGTGTGTCGTCATCTGCGTGTTCTTTTCCCCACGGCCTGCCCACGCGCTGTCGCCCCCGCAAAAAAAAATCCGGGCTCCCCCCTCGCCCTGCCTGCACCATGCCCCCGCGCCCCCCCTCCCTGGGTGCATCTTGGGCCGTGTTGGAGGCATCTTGGGGCCATCTTGGCCGTCTTGGAGGCCATCTTGGGCGTCTTGGAGGCCTCTTGGGTCGTCTTGGGGCCCTCTTGGGGCCGCCTTGGGGGCTCTTGGGCCGTCATGAGGCCATCTTGGAGGCCTCGTGGGCGATCTTGGGACCTCTTAGGCCGTCTTGAGCCTTCGGAAGGCCGAAACGAAGCAAATGCCAAAATCCTTCAAAAACCAAATGAAAATCAATGATCTTGGCCTCTTCGGGCCCTTCTGGAGGACCTCTTGGAGGCCTCTTGAGCTGTCTTGGACGCCTCTTCGGGGCCTCTTGGGCCGTCTTGGTACATCTGAGGCAATCTGAGGCCGTCTTGGGTGCATCTTGGGCCGTCTTGGAGGTAGCTTGGGGCTATCTTAGCCGTCTTGGAGGCCATCTTGGCCGTCCCGGAGCCATCTTGGAGGCCATCTTGGGCCATCTTGGTCGTCTTGGACGCGACAGGGAACCACCCGGGCTTTTTCCGGATTGTCCGGGACCCCGGTGGGACGGGCCGAAGTTCCAGGGGGAGTTCTTTTGGAGAAAGAACCAGAACCAAAACCGAAAGGATCTAGCACGCCAGGCACTCCTGTGATGAATCAACAGGGGGCGAACCTGCGTCTCGTACCTCTATCGAAGACGCCTGCGGCGAATCACCGCCGCCCCCTGCCTTTTTGGAAGCGCCTATGTGGCCGAACGTTGAGGCCAGACCTGCCAAGCTATCGGACCATGCGTTCCCCGAATCGGTTTGGAAAGCCTTCGGGGAACACGTGGGCATCTTGAAGGTCATCTTGGCCGTCTGGAGGCCATTTTGACCCTTTCGGGCCTTCTTGGAGGACGTCTTGGAGGGCTCTTTTGGAGGCCATCTTGAGCCTCTTGGAGGCCTCTTGGGCCGTCTTGGGGGCCTCTTGGGGCCGTCTTGGGCCTCTTGGGCGATCTTTGGGGGCACTTGGGCCATCTCGGGCCGTCGGAAGGCCGAAAAACAACAACTGCCACCATGGGAAATCAATGATTTTGGCCTTTTCGGCCCTTCCTGGAGGCCCTCTTGGAGGCCTCTTGGGCCGTCTTGGGCCGTCTTAGGGCCATCTTCGGCCG